TTTTTTCAAATATTTCAGCCGCTTACTATATATTGGGCGATTCAGCTTGCAATTCGTGAAAGCTTGCTTTCTCAAATCACTAATGAGCTGCGGATACATTACTTAGGCATGTTGTCTTTGTAGTTTCATTTTAACTGAGATTTTATTCCTCAAATTTCTTTTCTTTTATTTGATTCCTTTGTTGTAAAATTTCCGGATGAGGTTATTCAATTAGGTCAGTCACGGTAGTTATACAACGTGTTGAGCTAATGTGAACTTTGGAGTTCATTGAAAAACTTTGGGCTGGTGAACCATTGGTCACAATTGTGGAGACTCTTACGATTTGTCCGTGTATGAGTTTCTTAGAATTTTATATTGGATGAAGAAAGTTGTCTCCACTCACTTTAGAGTTAAGTTATAATGCAAGCTGAAGGGGAACTGTATGAAATTGTTTGATTTCAGTGTGTTAAGAAATGTAACTGGCTATACCAATGGAAGTATACTTTGGAATGAGATTAAGTTAATGGTTATTATTATTATTATTATTATTATTCTTATTATTATTATTATTATTATTATTATTATTATTATTATTATCTTACTTGATATTCAAAATCTGAAGTCTATTGATCTTATTATCTTCTGCTGACACAACCATCATTATTTACGCTGTTTTACATCTGATCATTGATCACCTTATCCACTGATAAATATGCTTCTGCGACTCTAACTTGATGCACGGACTACACGCTTGAAGGACCAGAAAAAGAACTTAATCAGCTGGCAGTTTTTGGAGAACTCCAAGCTCTTTTTCCTGGAGTAAAAGTCCACATAGACCTTGTTGGACCTGCTATTCCACAAATCAGGTTACACCAACAGTACAAGTCCTGACATGATTATCGCTTTCAGTTTTTCTTAAAACATTGTTTTGCATAGTTTGCTTACTTTACTTGATCCCATCTGTCATTCATCCGAATCATTCCACATTTGCATGCTAGGGATGGTGAAAGAATTGATCTGAATTCCTACATTCAGTGTAATGAGATGGACTGTGGGTGTAAACATCCTGTTGAATATCAGAAAGAGAGGATAATAACAAGTTGCTGTTCATACGCAGTTAAACTACAGCTTCATGCAGGTTGTTATCACGACTGTTACGGTGAATTACTGAAGGTTGTCAAAAGCATTCAGATCCCTGGTAACTCACACCCTGTGCATTATTTTACTAGTTTTCTCATGAGAATTTGGTTCGACTTGCAGGATTCTTTGCCTCATATTATCTTGGCCCCTAATGCTGGTATTGCTGCATACACTAGCTGGGTACCGACTCTTGTGAGTATCTGAAGCCTGTTCAGCTTATGCAAAATTGATGTTTAGCTGTAAATGTCTTATGTCTGTGTTCTTCCTCACGTAGGAAGTAATAAAGCAGATGCATGTTCCTTTAGTTTTATCTGATTACTGTGAGGAAGCATCTCATCTGGCTGCTTCTTGTATTAGCTCAACCACAGGCACTGCTCTGAAGATTCAGGTGTTTCTCCCCTCTAATTTAGTGAGAATTACGAATGTCTGCCTTGTGATTTAGCCCGATTACCTTATTCTCGTTATCTTTCAGAATTACTAAATATTGCCACCGACCGAGTAATAACATGCAACTACATGCAAACACATGAAAAAAAAAAATTCGTAATGAGTGGGATAACTGAAACTTGGAAATGAAACTTGCTATTAGATCAAATCTCCGTCTATTGAACTTAACCTCAACTACTAATGCAATCGTGAACTTCCTGGGGATTGTTATGTCTTTATGCAGATTCAGATAAACCCATTCAGGCAGCCTTTTCGAGTTGAAGAAAGTGCTTTATGTCTTCCATGCTATTCTAATTGCTTTGTTTTTGGGTTTTGAAATACCGTCTCATATATGTCATTTTGACTCTTGCAATGAGTGAAAGAAGGCGATGTGGCTTTTGAGTTGGCAGGAGATTAGGGACTAGGTTTTAGCATTGTAGATGGTTTATAGTAACACTCAAGTCTCAGAGCTCAAGCGAAATAGAAAGAACGACTTTTAGACACATACCAACAAACTACGGCAAAATGCATGCAAATATGAATGTATTATATATGTTCTCTAGCTATGATTTTCTCTTTAAATTTTTTTTCTAGCATATCTTGTGCTCACTTGAATGCTGGAAGCCTAAACTTATTAATAAACCCTAGCTACAAATAAGAGTTTTGTTTGCCCAGACAACTAGTGCATTGGCTTACACTACCATCTTAAATGTGTTAGTATTCACCATTTGGAATATTAATACTACATTGTTAATTTATGAATAGCATTCAAATGCGATAATGTATGTATATATACCAATTGTTCTTACAACCTCTACTCACTAAAAAATTGCTCGAACTTATCTATTTTTTTTTTTTTTTTTTCCCAAGGCAAATAAACAACTTATATTACTCAAATAAGAGGTACTGGTATAACCGAGAATTCAACAGATTACAAAGACGAGAAAGGCAGATCCTTCCCCTCAAAGACCAACAAGGTCTAACAGCAAACAACTAAAAAGCCAAACAGTTCACAATATTACAAAACTTAAACAAAGCCTTAATCTCCTCTACTAAGTTTGAAGAAAAACATCCATCAGGTACAGATTTGTTCAGCAACTTCACAGCATTGGTGTTGTTGATGTAGCAGGTACCTGGGAGTCCCTTTAGATCTTTATAATGCTCCAGACTCCACTTAGCAGTTATAATGCTCCAGACTCCACTTAGCAGCATGAAGAGTTGCTTCTGTGCCATCCACCTCCCCGTTGGTACTTGCTATAACCCCATCCCATTGCAGCTTGTTATTGTTCCCATCTGTACCTGAGCAGAACACTTCAATCATCCCCTCTTCAGTTAAGTGAGCACTTATCTAGTTACAACATGTTTCTTTTGCTTCCATTTCTATCACAACTAGTGTTGTTAAATTAAACGAGTTTGGACCGACTTGGCTCGAGTTCGAGGCCTTAACGAGTCGAACTCGAGCTCATTTAAAGCTCGTTTGCTCTATTCTGTAAGGCTCGGAAAGAAAATTTTTATATAATTTTTTATAGTTTGACTCGTTAAAACTCGAGATTGGCTTTAAGTTCGAGCTTGAGGCTTTAACGAGGCAAGTTCGAGCTCGATTTCTGGCTCGTTTATTTAACTAGTCGAGCTTGGTTAGGCTCATTAAGGGCTCGAGCTCGAGCTTGAGTTCAGTTCGGCTCATTTATAGGCCTAATCACAACCTTAAAATATTTAATACCAATGTTATTTCACCACGTTTCTGAAATCTGTATTTTTAGTTTTCATTTGGTAACAATTACATTTTCTTCTAGGTATCATAATAGTGTTTATTTAAAATAAAGATAAATCATTAGTACTGCAGGATACAATAAACACTATGATAATCAGTACATAAAAAATAAAATAAATCTGTCACGAATGGTACAATAAATTTTCGTGAAGTTGCACCAGGCCTGGATTTTCGCAAGTTATTTAGGGTGTGATTGGATATCGATTTAATTAATTTTTAATTGGTTTTTTTTTTGTTAAACTAGAATTAATTTTGAAAAATGTGATATGGTTAGTTGTTAGTAAAAATTTAATTTTAAATTAGAATAATATTTAAAATAGGCAAATTATAATTTTAGTCATGTTTGGTATGGGATACGGGGGCTCTGCTGTGAATAATTTTACAGCAGGCTCTGTTGTGCTTGATGGTGGCCGTTGGATTGTAGGATCAAGTATCTAAGGCCGTTAATGTTCTTATACTTTCTTACAGTTCTTTTTATTAAAACGAATAAAGAATACAACCTCTCCAAAGCATAAAGGAAAGAGACTTCATCTATAGCTGAAAAATCCGCCATTAAAGATCAGAGAAAAGCTTAAAAACTGAGGAAAAAATTAGGTAAAAACAAAAACGAAGAAATCTCCAATTTGAAAGAAAAAAAATGGCGAAAATTAGAGGAGACAAAATCAATGTGAGAAAGATTTGAGAAAAATATCCAAATTCCAACTTGTACCATTCTAACAAAAAAAAATTGTGATCGCCAAAGCAGAAAAGAAAAAGACTTCATGTAGCTGAAAAATCTGCCATTAAAGAATAGAGGAAAGCTTAAAAACTTGAGGAAAAAAAATTGGTAAAAGCAAAAACGAAGAAATCTCCAATTTGAAAGGAAAAAAGGAAAAAAAAATTTGACCAACCTGAACTTTGGGGCTTTTTTGGCTTTGCAACCAAATCTTTTAATTTTGATAAAATGCAATCTCAACTATACGTTATTGATAAATTGCAACCTCGGCCACGGCAACAACAGAGCTTATCA